TGAACAGCACGGTAAGACATTTTTTAGCAATAGGTTTCATAACTCTCACTTTTCCATTAGTCGAAATTAGATACTTATTCTGAATGCAGTAGAAATTCCTCAGCATACAAACAAACCCATATGTGAAAGGCCATTTTGATACAAACTAGCAGTGGCAGTTGCAGGAAGAGTCCAACAATCAGAAATCCAGGAGAAGAATCTGTGTGGGGCTGTTGCTAGGCTAGCATGCAAGCAGCCCGGACAGCAGGGTAAAACCCTCAGCTTGCTTCAGACTTCTGTTTGATCCTGGGAGGTTTTATGCCTGAGCTAGGGTGAGCGACCAGAGAAATAGAGCTGAAGCCAATGTAGTAATAAATCTATGGCTCTGCTAATCTTTGCTTTATCTAAAGGAGAAAAGATGAAAGAACTTGAGTAAAAATTCTGTCATTTTAACTTCTCAGAACTTGCCATTTTTGTATGGAAACAAATTATTTTTTGTAATTTTTTGTAATAAAAAAATGTAATTATTTTTTCTGCTTTGAGGTACATAATGCTCAATTCTTCTACTCTTCAGTGAGTTCTGAGAAACCTTCTTATCATCACTTTCTTTAGGTTTGGAATTGCTGTGTCATTTAATACTAGACTTGTGGTCACACCATTTCATGTGTGATTAAGTTGTTATCTTCAAACATACATATTTTCTTTGAATACCATCACTTGATTATGTGGCACTTTAATATTATTATAAGTATGCTCTTTCTTCAGATTAATTGAGATTATTTTTTGTTACAGTTCAACAGAAAGCTGCCTGGTCCTAGCATTTGCTAGTCCAAATACGTTAATTATAAGTTCTTCCTAAAAAAGAGTAATTTTTTGTATTTGTGCATCTTTTTGCATACTCAGTCCTACAATTAATACTTAAAAATATAATTGATGCAGCCTTTTCTTATCCTGCAAATTACTTCAGAATCTCTCTTGGGATTTATGGGTTTCTAAAGCACACCAAACCTACAAGTTTTTTGTAAGGTTTTACAGGGGTTTTGTAAAAACAGCTGAACGGCTAATTTCTAAAATCTCTTCAAATATCCTATTCGTAAAGTTATACAGTGTTTGTAGGATAAGTTTTTTAAGTGGTTTTTAAATGTAATAATAATCTTTACTAATTTAACTTGTGTTTTCAACAGGTATGTTCTTAGCTGAGATGATTGAGAAATATTTTGTGTCCCCAACGCTATTCAGAGTCATCCGACTTGCCAGAATTGGCCGAATCCTGCGTCTCATTAAAGGCGCTAAGGGAATCCGCACGCTGCTGTTTGCTTTGATGATGTCTCTTCCTGCTTTGTTCAACATTGGTCTGCTGCTGTTCCTTGTCATGTTTATCTATGCGATCTTTGGCATGTCCAACTTTGCCTATGTTAAGAGGGAAGTTGGGATTGATGACATGTTCAACTTTGAAACGTTTGGCAACAGCATGATCTGCCTGTTTCAAATTACCACATCTGCAGGCTGGGATGGTTTGCTAGCTCCAATTCTTAACAGTGGGGAGCCAGACTGTGATCCGTATAAAGATCATCCAGGGAGCTCTGTGAAAGGTGACTGCGGCAACCCTTCTGTTGGGATTTTCTTCTTTGTCAGCTACATTATCATATCATTTCTGGTAGTGGTGAACATGTACATTGCTGTGATTTTGGAGAACTTCAGCGTTGCTACTGAAGAAAGCGCTGAACCCTTGAGCGAGGATGACTTTGAGATGTTCTATGAAGTCTGGGAGAAGTTTGATCCCGATGCAACACAATTCATAGAGTTCAGTAAGCTGTCAGATTTTGCAGCTTCATTAGATCCTCCTCTTCTTATCGCAAAACCAAACAAAGTCCAGCTTATTGCAATGGATCTGCCCATGGTAAGCGGTGACAGAATTCACTGCCTCGACATCTTGTTTGCTTTCACAAAGCGTGTTTTGGGGGAAAGTGGGGAAATGGATGCCCTCAGAATACAGATGGAAGATCGGTTTATGGCAGCCAATCCTTCTAAAGTCTCCTATGAGCCAATTACCACCACATTAAAGAGAAAACAGGAGGAGGTATCTGCTGTCATTATTCAGCGTGCTTACAGACGTCATCTTTTAAGGCAAAAAGTCAAAAAAGTTTCATGTATATTTAATCAGGATAAAGGTAAGGATGAGGACAATCTGCCCATGAAAGGAGATATGATTATGGATAAACTAAATGAGAACTCTACTCCAGAAAAAACAGATATGACCCCATCCACAACCTCCCCACCATCCTATGATAGTGTAACAAAGCCAGACAAGGATAAATATGAAAAAGACAAATCAGAAAAAGAAGATAAAGGTAAAGACAGCAGGGAAAGTAAAAAGTAACACAGAATTGTTTCTGATAAACTGTTTACAGCCTGAGAAAGTATGTATTTGTGTCAACAGGACTCCTGTAGGAGGTACATGCCAAACTGACAGTTTTTACATATATAAATATATATATAATTATATATATATATAAAAGGTCAGTGCCTATAACAAGACAGTGACCCCTCGTCATCAAACTGCAACTCTGTAAAACAGGGTAACATCTTGACAGGAGGTTGTTGTTTTTATTACCAGCTGACACTGCTGAAGAGAAGATAAAATGGCCAATCAGACTGTAGGGACCAGTTAAAAAAACAAAGGTGCGAACCTATGAATCTCTGTGTTTAACGTGAAACACGCAGTACAGAAATTGTATCCACTGTTTGCATTTCAACAGCCACATTTGCCATATTTTTACAAAAATCAGTGTTGGTGAACTTATCATTTTTTAATTCACAGGTTGTTTACTATTATATGTGACTATTTTTGTAAATGGGTTTTATGTTGGGGAAGGGGGTATGAGAACCAGGTGTTCTACTCTCGGATTCTCTATAATGTACAGACAGAAGTGATTTGCATGAAGGCATGCTGCACTTGTAGTTCATGCATGGGAAAACATGACGTCGCACAAAGCAGCAGAGTCTGACTACTTCCATGTTTCAGGGTGGCTCTATATTTTGAGGTGCTTAATAACAGTATCCATCTAGTATCTCATCCAGACAAATTTTAATGTGCCTGTAAAGTCCCATAGAGTCTACAATAATAGAACAGATGTTTTATTTTTTCATAAGTCATCTAACTGTAGTTGAACAAACTGCATAGATAATTTACCAAGGGACATAGCGTCCATTTTTTTTCTGTAGAAAACGGCTTACCTGAACTTGGGGAATTGAATTTACCAAAAACCTGCAAACCTTAAGGATTATGAAGTTGTTCTGCTTCACCCTGCAGTATCGTTTAGCCATCTTCTGCTCTCAGCAAGGTTGACATTGTATGTGTTGATTAAAAAAGTACCGTCTATGTAAATAGTTATTTTATCCCGTGGTGCATGTTTGAGCAAACAAATAATGACCTGTGCACAATATTTATTGCATCAAATATGTACCACAGTAAGTGTAGTTTGCAAGCTTTCAACAGCTGATACAAAGTATTCCGTACCATTATAGATAGTTTGGAAGCTATCACTGATGCATGTTTATCTTGCCTTTGCTGCTGTAATTTTACTCCTTCCACTGTTAAAAGTCTAATATGGGAAGCCATATCTCAGTGGTTAAGTGAAACAAATTGCTCAATTGGTCGTCATTCTTTCATGACATCAAGCAATAGTTTGCAGCTATTTAAAAGCTCCTTGCTTTGCATTCTAAAATTTTAAGTGACTACTGTACGGTGTATAGTCAGACTGTACAGGATATGTTGCAAACTGCTTAATCTGTTGAAACATACATGGATAGAATTTTCTAAGAAAATATAAATATTGTAAAAAATACCATTTTATTTTATTTTTCAGCATTTTGTACATAAAATAAGAATTGAGAATTATCTTCAGGTTGATGTCACTGTCACTTTTGTTACTTTCTATCCATAGCACTTTTTAATTCAAGAACTTCACAAAATAAGAAACAAAGGAAAGAATGGGGTAGCTTTAGGTTTCTGCTTTTTTATTAGTACTGTATTTTTGCACACATTTTAATGTGAAATAAGTTTCAAACTGAGTCCAAAATGCACTTGCTTCCAAATAGATATAACTTGTAATTGAAATGTGTTGGGGAAGACTTGTTTAAAATTCTAGCACTGCCTGCATCAGAAGTTTCAAGGTAGTCTTTTTATTCATGAAATCTTTACCAGTGTTTGTTTACATAGACTATTCTTCTTGTTGATTCATGCTGCACTAGAACTGTTCAAAATATAATATGGGATCCACAATGCTTTTTTTCCACAGGAATTAAATAGCAAACTTGTATAATTGAACACATCAGGACATTTTGTTTCTTACACAAGCAAAAATTCGATGTTGACTCCTCCTTTTACAAAAATATTGACTTGTGTGTCCGTGAACTGCATGCAGGAAAATGCTATTACCATACAGAACAGTAAATCACATTACAGTTGAGCCAAAAGAATAAAGATTTCATTTTTTATTGTATTTAATTGTTCTGTCTTTGTTTTCATCACTAAAAAATGTTGGCTATCAAGAGGTGTTATGAAAATAAAATGGGAACATATAGTGTAAGAAATAAGGAGTAGCGATTAAAAATTTTAACACTAGATTTGCAAAAGTAATAAATTGAAGCCATATGCTTTTACAAGATCTTCAATATGAATTGGACTTAACAGTCTTTGGCTTATTAATCCTGCTTAAAAGTATTCTTAAAAGTAGGATAATGTTTATGCGTACATGATGATTAAACCCCGTTTTCATGTCAGGCATTCTCAGACAACTAGAAAAAAACAGATGTTAAAGAAACTACCTAGCTATCAAGGCTGAAAACCAGTATGACATTTTACATTTGAAGTGAAAAGTTATTTTTGTGTGATAACAAAAATTTTGTTTACTATATGATTTGTAAAATACTTATAATCTGTTATTTTGCTTTAAGACATGAGGGGTTTTTGCAGGAACTTTGCAGGAAGTTTTGGTAAAGCATCAAATTTCTTTGGGTTGTTTTTTTGTTTGTTTGTTTTTTTAATGTTAGGGTGCTGAATGCAGTTATAATGTGAAAAATACTACGATTTTAAACTTGTATGGTGAATTTACAGAGTGCTCTTCACTGTCAGTGAGCTGCCATACATAGAACAGTGCATGCATATGCATGGAAGGGCTGATACCAGAATCCAGGAGGTAGGACGGGCATGACAAAAGTGTTGGCAGTGGAACTGAGAATTTTGAGGGGATTACTATAAGTATTTATTGTGTCAGTCATGTCATGTGAATTACCTGCTCTATCTCCACAGAATTCCTCACGAGATGCTTAGAAGTATGTTGGAAAAATAGCTGGTTTCAAAGTATTTCTTTTTCCCCTAACAGCGCTTCCTATGTGACACAAATCAGTTTCCTGAAAAACTGAGGGACAAGAAATTGTCTTTAACGATGTCATATGAGTGTCTTCTCAATGCATTAAAGTTACATTTCATTTACATTGTTGCAAAGTCATCTCTGAGCCTGTAAAACGTGCTAAAATTGGTTCTGAATAAAATAGCATTTGCCACACTGAAAGCAGGGAAGATGATGTTTTTTAGGTAGCAATCACATTTGAGTGCTATTTCTAACAAGGATTTTTCTCTGTTGTAAAATAATGCCCTTAGGGTAGGATACCCTGAATGAATTAAAAGCTAAGGAAAACACGCACTCATCACAGGTGTGCAGACAGGTATCCCTGTGAAGTATCAGGAAAACCAGACATAGCCAAAGCTTTACGTGATGTGCAAGTCTTGGCTTTGGGACAAACGCTTTCCAACGGAGCAGCTGGATGATGCCCATTATCTCCCCACATTTTTCAACCACTAATGGTCTGTCAAGATTGCTTACACCAAAAATGACTATTACTATACGAACGCAGTAAGTTCTCAGGCTGCAGTGTTGCAATTTGATTTCCTACCTCTGCCTATGAATAAACACAGTTGTCAGGGTAAGGTCTAGGATAAGAAAAAATGAGAGAACCTTAATTTCTTTAATTTAAGGACCAAAGCTATGGCTGTTTGGTTGGTCTTTCGGAGGGAAAGGTATTGAAAAAAAATGCAGTTACATACAGTTGTATGAATTAGACCATTCAGAAAATAATCATTATTCTTCTTGCAGGGATTCATACCTAACAGACAGCTAGTACAAATGAGAAACATAATTAAATACCTCAAAACCAATAAGCAGGTATGGTTTTGCTTGGGCCCCTCTTCCCCCTTCTTTTTTTACATATCTGTAGATTTGCTGAGAACACCTGCTAATAGGCTACAAACCAACTGTGCGCAGGTTCATCCACCGCAGCCATCTCCTGTATTTCACCGGTTCTGTTACAGAGGAATCCCGCTCCCTACGGCGGTGGTCCGAGATACGCAGGGTCTGAGCGCTCGAGTAGCGCCATGAGCCCGTCCCTTCATGCGCCCTACAAAGCCGCGTGGGTCTCCCTGTGTCGTCCCCCCGCCCCGGGAGGCCGCCGCTGGGCTCCCCACGCCGCCTGCCGCCACGCAGCTCCCGGGGCCCTCCGCTCTCTCCGCCCGGCGGGACAGCGCCGCCTCCCGGCTGCTCCGCGCGGTGCGCCTCGGCCAGCACCGCCAGCCCCTCCTCCGCCAGGACCGCAGGCGCGGCGGATGGGGGCCGCCTCCCGGGCGGGTGGGACATGAGCGCCCGCTCCGAGCCCGGCGGCGGTCGGGTGCCTCGGGACCTACTCGTGTTTGCAGCTGCAGGAGGCAGGTACGGGGAGCGTGGGGTGGGGAGGGCAGCGCAGCGCGGCGTGTGAGGCGTGTGGCCGCGGGCTGCTGCCGCTGCCGGGGGAAGCGTGAGCCCTGGGCGGCACCTCTGCGCACGGCGGCCCCGGCCCAACGCGTGCTGAAGCGGGCCGAGGGAGGTGGCCGGTGCTGCGCAGCACGGGGCTCTCCGCCGGTGACGGAGGGAGGGCAGGGGCCGGGCTTGCCCGTTACCTGCCGTTGCTGGCTGAGCAGCCCAGGCGGCGGCAGCATTAGCTGGAGCACCGGTTGTTCAGGTGAGGACCCGTAAGCGCGCTGAGTGTTCCTGACCGCAGGGGAGGCTGTGGAGCAAGGGTGCACCCGTGGTTAGCCCAGGAGCTGGGGGGGCACTTCGTGAAGAAGGAAACGAGTGTGCAGTTGTTGTTGCGATGAGAGAGCAGCTGAATGCACTGGATCCTCGCCGGTAAAACCATTTGCCGTTCCTGGCGTTCCTGACACCGGGCACTCCCAGGGCTGAGGCGAGGTGGCCTGCGGCACCCCTTAGGGCTCGGGGTTTCCACTGTCCCCTGGAGCTGCAGATGCCTCAGCCCCTTCGCTCCCAGCTGCGCCGGGTGGCTCGTACCGTGCTGTGCCGTGCCAGGCTGGGTACCGGTAGCGCTGGCGTGCCGCTGGCATCCAGGCAGGCCGACCTGCCTCCCTGCGCGGGTGGCGGCGGAGCGCTGCGAGGGCAGCCGGCGGTATCCCGTGTAGCCAGAGCTGTCCACTGGAATAAATAGGAACCATTTCGCAAGGTTGCTGTGGTTCTGGATAAATCCTGTGCTGCTGCAAAACTGTGCTAGTCCTGCGTGAGAAACTGCTCTGAACCTGCTCAGCACAGCAAACTCCAGAGCAACAGATACCACCCGTTCTTTCGTTGCCTGAGTAGGTAGGAAAGACAAACTGTTGAGCAGTGGCTGATGCAAACTATTAGAGCTACAGAATAAACAGGCTGCTTCAGGAAGGAAGGCATGCGCCATCCCCCGATTCTTTCATTCGTATTAATGAATTGTACCCATCTGATTTTGCAGCGCTTTGAATGAGGGTGTGTTTTACTGGGGGAAGGTTTGTTACCTGAAGTCCGGCACAAATGATTGCACATCCACAGTTGTTGCCTTTGTTTCACCAGTGTGCAAGTTGGAGAACGAGCCCTTCACTTAGAATGTGTGAGGAAAAATAAAGCTCTAAGAATTTCGTAAACTTGAATATATTTGGGAGGTGGTAAAGTAAATAAAGACACAAGAGCAAAGGTACCAGAGTGGCATAGCCTAGGGTGGCTCCAGGACAACTTCTGTGCTCTTCAGTCTTGTCACAGGGAAGCAAGCTAAATAATCTCTTAAATAGCACTTTTAATAATGGACTATGAGGAAAGGTCTGCCCTTTCTGTATGCCTGTTCTTTTCTGTGTTTTTTTTTTGTTTGTTTGTTTTCTTTTGTTCTAATATGTTATTTTGTGCTTATTGCATGAAGCATAACTGAGGTTAGCCTCGCTAGTTGAGGGTGACTCACTGAAAATCTCATCTATCATTTCTTTTAGAGAATGCAGTAGAGAGAAGGGAAACCAGGAAACTCGGAGAGAATGTTTCTATTTATCTTTGCGACTAAGCATCCTTTATTTTAAAGTGTTCTTGCATGCCTTTGATGGAGCTCTTTATATCTGACCAGCTTTTATCATGGGATAAACAACTTTCTGCAGTATGTGGTGTAGGTTTGGTCGAACCTAGAGAAATCTGTTTGTAATTTGAGTTACGTAGTCTCAGATTTCTGGGTTATGAAGCATTTCAGTGTGGGCTCGCTTCATCACTTGATGGGGACCCTTACTTGCGCTTGCATCATACAGTGTCGCTTTACTGTGAATTTATAGTTTTTAAAGGTTTTGTGCTTTATTGCTTAGACTTTGGATTCTGTCAGGTCATTGTAAAGACAATTTAATATCATTTTCTGCCTTTGTGATTGCGTAGCAACAACAGCTTGGAAAAAATAAGCAATAAGCTACTGTAGGAGGTTGTAATTGTGTTGTTACAACACATATCTGCTACTGTAAATTGTTGTACTTTTGAAACAAATAGCCTTGTAGAGAGGCTGCCGATCGGAATACACCGCAGTTTGGTGTTTGTCACACTGATAGTACAGCAGTAGAAGTAGCAGCTCACTTTAACCACAGACAGATGTTAGAACACTGATGTAATACATTGATTCACTTGTTCAAAGATGAGAGGGGGTGAATGGGGTTGAACTGGGGTTTGTTTTCTTTTCTAAATAGCCAAGTATAAATAGGGCAGTCTTCTACAGGTGGTTGATGGTGAGTAATTTAGAGAAACAGTGAGCCAGAGGACAAAGGGAGTTGGATGTCACTGGCAGCAAAGACATCTGCCTAACACTTGTATGAATTGAGAAATGCAGAGCATCCATACTACTGAAATAATGTCTTGGCAAATAGATGCAGTGTTAAGTGAAAGACTGATATATGCAGTAAAATGAACTAGAAGATTAAATATTTTCCTGTGTTTTTTACTATTTGTAGTATAGTTTGTTGCACTGGTTACTTTCTTACTGCACAGCCCCTTTTCCCCACCAGTCACCACTCAGGAAAAGATACTGGTATTTTTGCTAATTTTAAAAATCTGTCAAATTAATAATGTCACCCCATTCTCAGTATAAAATTTTACCATTAGAAGCTTTGCATACTTGATTGTTTTACCTTGTTGTAAACTGCTTGGCTTCTTAAGCCCAGTTTAAATACTTTTGCAAGCCATAGTAAAGGTGCAGGTGTCACCTCCCTCCCCCCATCCATCATCCTGTTTACCTATGACTTTGTCAGGCAAAAATGAAAAAGCCTGTTGCATTTCCCAGGTGTGAAAGCCTTCCGTTGCTATGAATGTCCTCAGTTATTTGATGATTTGTCCAAGCATTTCACCAGACGTGTGCAGTTCTGTGCCAGGGCATGCAGGCTAGGTCAAAAAAGGAGAATGGGCATGGCTAAATTGTGGGCAGCTGCTCTAATCTGTACCCTGGGGCAGGGGATGAAATGAAGAGTTAATCAAAACTAATTGGTTTCAATGGCGCTACCTTCTGTGTAATGTGCTGTCTGATAAGCAACTGTTAGAATAGATAAAAAATTATGTTTTTAAGAACAGATAAAAAATAATGTATTTCCTAATTAATGGTTCTGCAGAGCCATCTGGAACCCTGAACTGAAGACAGGATTTGTACTTAGTTTCCAAGGTTCCTTTTTAAAGTATTTTTTCATAATCTGATACATAAATTGTTATAATGTTAAAATAAAAATTTATTTCGATTATATATTGAGACTGCTTGGATGTGCAAAGGCAGTTTTTGCAAATACTGTTTTGCAAAACTGTTTTCTCCAGGGATCTTCCCAGCTTTGTGGTTGTGTTACAAATCAGCACATGGCCTAGAGGTCACACCATTTCAATGCAGTACTTCTCATCTGGTGTTCTCGAGACATTTTATATCATACACGTTTGACAGGAAAATAAATCTAGCACCTCTGTAAGATTTATAATGGGGTGCCAAAAAGGGTATGTTTGTAATATGAATTCCGTGTTATTACACAGATCCTTTGATCAGCTTGTTGGTTTTTTTACTCACACTTCTGGGAACTGTTTGTGTTCAAGTGGGAATTGCATGACTCTAGATTTGACACTGATTTTTCACTTTGCTTTGAAGTGCCAGCAGCTTTCTCAAAAGGCTTGATATTCTATTTTAGTAATCAAACGTTAATTTTTGTTACCTGGTGAGAACACAGATGCAAAGGGCAAATTGCATGATAACTACCCTTGAAATATAGTGTTAAACAATTGCATTATTGTAGATCTTGCTTTATACAGCCAGTCTTAAGCAGTATTCTTTTTTTGTGTGCCTATCAGCAAGTGCTTTAGGATTATGTTTGTTGTTGTTGGGTTTTTTTTGTTGTTATTTTTAAGGATCTGTTTATTGTCTTGTGTGTAGATGAACTAAGCAGTATAAATCGTGAGTGTACACTTTATACCAAGTATATCTGGAAAAGACATACATACAAGTTGGTATTCTTGAATTGTATGCAGTAAGGCTTAACCACTAATTTGCTTACCTTCCTTTGTATAAACAAAATATATAAGTGCAGCTTTTAGTGAAAATCTGCAAAATGTTTGTGGAAGGAGAGTTTGGAAGTAAGATTTGAGGAAGCATTTTGTTTTCAGGTTGCAAATACCCAAGCATTTTTGATACAAGAACCTGGACTACTGGTAATTTCCCAGCAGACACGTTTCTGTTGTAGCCTTGCCATGTCATGACTGGCTTTTTTTGCAGTTCCCATGGCAACGAGGATTTTTGATCTGCAAAGCAGAATAATGTGTATGGTTTGAGGAGGTATATTTTATTTTTTTTTAATCACAGAGGAAATGTTGATCCATGAAAACTGATCAGGCACTCTGCTGTCCCCCTCACCCCCCCACCTCACTCTTTAATAATCTGTGTTTTGCCCATAAGATTACATTTAAATGTGAAATCCTGACAAGAATGCAGTTAATTGTTCTATTTTTTGACATAGCATAAGAGATTGTGGAAAATCTGTAAAGGCTTACTGTAGTGATAGCATGGAAAACATGTCCTCTTCCAGGTGGAGTCTTGACAAACAGAAGGCCATTGTACATGTATATAAATTTTAATGTGTATATATTTGTGAGCATTGTGTATGCATATAAGGAGGAATGAGAGTTCAAGTTGCTCAGGATTTGCATTTGCTTCTGATAATTTGACTTTCTGGTAAGAAAGTCAATTTCTTTGGCTTCGACTCATTTCCAGGATGTATTCATAAAATACTTTTCAAATGGACTTACGCATTTTAACTAAAGAATCTCAAAATACTGTACTTGATTCACAAACAAAAAATTGTTAACAGTGGTAATAATTTTGTGTGTGTGCCCTGTATCCCTCACATTCTCAAATGAACACATGGGTAGCATGGGAACTAAATAATTAACAGAAGCTCCCATAGGCACAGGTTGTTTTTTCTAGAGTTTTCTTTGTTAAGTTTCTTTTTGAGCTCTCTCCCCCAAAAGAAGCCAGTTGAGATTTGTCAAGTTCCCTCCACACCCACTTTGTTTGGTTTTATTTGTTTAGGGTTTTGTGCAACTGGTAAAAAAGAAAATGGGAACAATAGAGGCAAAGGAGGTAATTATCATTTATGTTGTAAAAGCCCTCTCAATAGTGCATGTAAGAAAGATATGTTTATAACACCTGAAAGGCAATTTAGAGAC